CATCCATCAAAGGGTGGAAAGAAAAATTCTTCTTTGTGAATGACACCGAGTGGAGTAGGAGGGATGCCGAAGTGGAACAGTTGTCTGCTTGGAAAGCAAAGAAAACCAAGTAGAACAACTATAAGTTGAATGAGGATGAGGTGGAGGAGGTGGAGAAGCCGGTGAGGGAAGATGGAGACGTGGTGGATATCTTGTACCTCACCAGTCCGAAGGCAATAGAGGCTGCTAAGCTCTATGGGCCAAGCTCATTGAGCAAAGGTTTGTGTATGTTTATAGTGTGTAATTTTGATGAGATTTTAACTGGTGTGTTCTAATATTGACGTTTGTTTTGCAGCTGAGATGGACGAGTTCGTTAATGCGGCTGGGGGTCTGCACATCCCAAAGAAGCCAAGGAAGAAGTCAAAGACTCCAACTGCGGCGGAGAAGGGGGTGGCAGAGAGGGGGCGACTGTCCAGCACTTCTGCCCGGGCTGTGGAGGTGCAGTCAAGGCCGGAGCCTGTGATGGGGGGTAGCGAGGATGTAAGTGAGGAGGTGGCACCTCTACAGGGGAAGAAAAGGAGGGTGGCAGGGCTAGAAGCCAGGGGGGACGAGGTGGTGGAGTTCGTGCCCCGGCCTTTTCCTCCAGAAATCAATCCTGAAGACAGGGAGGGGGAAGAGGTCGAGGTGCGAGGCCTTGGTGGGGGCAAGGAGCGCATCCCTCCTCACGCGTACCAGAAGAGTTTGTTTGAGGCGACAAACACGACTGGGGCGAAGCACTTCCTCAACTCTACCCTCCCTGAGGTGGATAGGGTGCAGGCGAAGGACGAAGTGGTTAGCCATCTGGGGTATACCGTTGTGAGGCACGCCCTAGAGGTATGCAAAATAGTTGGAATTTACTCCGGTTGTATGTTTTGAGTTTTTTTTTTTTTTTTTTGACCTCTGTATCTGATGTCTGACTTCTGATTGCATCGTAGAGTGCAAGCTGGGCAAACGCTCTAGCGCAGGAGTATGCGGAGAGCGTGCGCGATCGTGCCAGCTTGCAGAGGCAGTGCGAGCAGTTGCAGAAGGAGAAGGATGAGCTGCAGAAGGAGAAGGGGGAATGGGAGAAGGAGAAGAGGGAGATGCAGAGGAGGCTGGATGAAGTTCTCCCTTCAGTGACCGAGCTCCAGAACGAGAATGATGTCCTGAGCATGAAGCTTGTCCTCGAAGAACGTAAGAGGAAGATCTGTGAGGAGAAGCTCGAGGCTCAGGACAAATACATTGACAACATGAGGAAAGGAGCAGCGGAGCTGAAGAAGAACGTGAACCTGCTGGTTCACAACGGGATGGAGGAGCACATTGGCAACTTCCTCAACTCCAGCACCTTCGAGAACATCCTCAAACTCTACCGGCTGCCAACCGCAATCGTGGCCTTCACCGATTGTAGAAAGAAGGTGAAGGCCCAGTACCTAGAGGTGGACGTGACAACAGTTACCTTTGGGGAACAAGAAGAAGGGGTGGAGGAAGATGGGGAGAGCCTCTGTGTTGACTTCCGACCTCAGATCACGCTGAGGTGGGAGCATGATGCAGAGGGGCTCACTATTTTTCCTCTAGCCTTTGAGGCTGAGTTGGTGGCAATGGGGGAGGAAGAAGAAGAAGAAGAAGCACAAGGCGCTGGGGTTGAGGATCAAGCAGCTGTGGCTGAAGTGCAGCCTCCCGAGGTGCATCCCATCTCTTCTGATGAAGTGCAGCAATCGGCCCATCCCGAAGCAGAAGTGCCGCCTCAGCCTGCTGAAGACGAGCCCAGATCACCACCTCTTTCTGCTGAGGAGCAGCCTCCTCTTCCAGCAGAGTAGTTTAGGATTTTTTACGTTATTGGTGTAAATAACTTTTTTGTATTCGAGATTAATGTATAAAATTTTTGAATTTATTATTATCTAGTGTTTGAGTTTTGATTTGTGATCGATGTTTTTCTTTGAGGAACTCTTTTTGGATAAAATAAGTAAACCTGAATTAACACAAGGTTCTGACCTCGGATAAAATAAACAGTATAGTAGTTGACTTCGGATGTCCATAAGGTATACCTCAAAGACGAAGTAAAGCACTTCAAAAATAAAGCGTAACTGATTAATAGGATTATAACCCTAAAAATGAAGTGACTGAATGAGTCAGAATGAACTGACTTCAGAAATAAATGAAACCCACTTCCAACGCATAGCAGAGTTTACAGAACTGAATTAGTTCGAACGCGAAGTGAAATTGAGCTTTGATATACAGCAATCAGAATAATGGTGGTTAAAACAAAGTTGACTGGAAAGAAGTGTATTAAGGGTAAAATTTCTTCAAGTTATTGGCATTCCAGACTCTAGGAACCCTTTTTCCCTCAGTGTCTTGTAGGATATAAGCACCTGGGTGTGGCACTTCGGCTACGGTGTAGGGGCCTTCCCAGTTTGGTGCTAACTTTCCAAATCGAGTTTCGAACCCCGTTAGACCAGCTTTCCTGAGAACAAGGTCTCCTACTTTGAATGGTCGGGGTCGAACTCGTTTGTTGTAAAAGTTTGCTACCTTCTGCTTGTAGACTAGAGTTCGAAGTCGTGCTTCTTCTCTGACTTCGTCAAGCAGATCAAGGTTCTCCCGAAGCAGTTGTCCATTCTGCCCTTCATTGAAATGGGTGACCCTGAAGCTTGGGACTCCTATCTCGATAGGAATGACTGCTTCGGTACCAAAGGCCAGATGATAGGGTGTTTCACCTATTTCAGGGGATTATAACTTTAGAATGCGCTTTACACGTTATGCATATTTGCTCTAAGGTAAAACCGTAGCAGAAAACGTAAAATAATATAAAATTTAATCGAATAGGCCAGGTGTAGAGTAATACCTGTGGCAGTTCGACTCGTAGTTCTGTATGCCCAGAGGACGTTGTTGAGCTCGTCTGCCCATTTGGCCTTGTGTTGTTCTAGCCTCGGCTTTATACCTTCTAAGATGCACTTATTAACAGATTCGACCATGTCGTTGGATTCCGGATGGTAAACTGAGGTGAACTGTAGTTTATTCCCGTAACTGGAACAGAAATCTCGGACTGAGGAGCAATTGAACTGAGTTCCATTATCAGCTACAATCTGATTTGGGATCCCATATCTGCAAATAATCGAGCTGAAAACAAAGTCTTCGACCTTCTTGGAGGTGAGACTAGATAATGCCCGAGCTTCAACCCATTTTGTGAAATAATCTACACCAACAATGAGGTGGGTTACACCTCTTACCCCCTTCACAAATGGGCCTAAAAGGTCAAGACCCCATTGAGCGAATGGCCAAGGTGCCACCAACGTAGTGAGCTCTTCTACAGGCTGATGGATTAGATGTGCAAAGAACTGACATTTCTGACACCTTTGTACGAACTGAGTGGCATCCTTGTACATGTTGGGCCAATAATAACCCTGTCTAAGGACCTTGTGAGCTAAAGTTCAAGCACCCACGTGACTTCCGCAGACACCTTCATGCACCTCCCTGAGTGCATATTCTGCTTCATAGGGATTCAAGCACCGTAGAAGAGGTAGGGAAAAAGATCGCTTATAGAGGAC